TTGTGTTTTTTTTGTTTTTTTTTTCAGGCTCCAAAATCGCCCGCGCTCGTTTTTCAACGAGCGCTATTACTACAGGCCGCGGCTGATGCCGTGCCATATCTCGTTGGAAGCGCCTTTCGACAAGCTTTCCAACGAGTCCTTTGCTCAATTCCACCCAGCGGGTGAAAAGTTATGAGCAAAAGAGTCTTTGCCCTTCCCTTGCCCCTCTCCTCCCTTTCCCCGTGACCATCTCCAAAAGTGTCACGTGGCACTGTGTGAAGACCCCCCTGTTTCAGGGGCTGCTCTACAGTGGTGAGGGTCTGCTCACACAGCAGACCCTGGATCTGCAGAACTGCTGCTCTAGGGGGCTGATCAAGATCTCAGCCCCCTCTCTCCTCCAGCTGGCAATTGGCTGCTGCAGTGAAAGTCAAGACCCTCCTGGTCTTGGTGTACCTTGTGTCTTTGGAGACAGCAAGAGTCAGGTATCTTTTCTCTCTCTCCCCCTTCCTCTACTAACCCACTCTCCATATCTCTCTCTCTCTCTCCTCTTACTCATACCCCCCCACCCCACCTTTTCTCCCACAAACCACTACCTTACCCTCTTTTCTTCATTTCTTTTCTTTTCTCTCCTCCTTCTTTTCTATTTCCTTCTTGATCTCTCTCCACCTTTCCCCATCCCTCCTCTCCCCCAACTACCACCACACCATCCCCCCTACCTCCCACTTCATCTTTTTCTCTCTCCCACCTATTTCCTTCTTTTCTCCTTCACTTTTTCATACCCCTTCCCCCCTACTTCGAAATTTTTATGTTTTTCTCCTTTTCTATCTTCCTTTTGATTTATATTTTCTCTTTTTCCAAAAAAATTTGAATTATCTTCTTTCCCACCTTCTTTTCTCATTTTTTGATTTATTTTATTTATTTTTCTATTTATTTTGAAAATTCGATTTTCTCTACGGCAACCCTAAATCTGATTAGGTGTTAGTCTTTCTTGCTTTCGGCACACGTTTTGACCCCGTGGGGGTAACGAAGTGCTGCCGAAATTTTATGATTTTCCCTTACTTAGTCCTTCTCGGCACACTTCGACCCCATGGGGGTAATGAAATGCTACCAAAATTTTTGACAAATTAGATACTTCATTCCTCCCCACCTCTTCATCCACTTATTTACTTATTTATTTATTTATTTATTTATTTATTTATTTATTTATTTATTTATTCTCTAAATTTTTTTCTATTATTATTTGCGGCATCTCTAATGTGTTCACCTTGGTCTCTCCTTTTCCCTTCGCACATTCTTGACCCCGTGGGGTGTAAGGAAATGCTGCCGAAAATTTCAAAAAAATAAATATTGTTTTCCCTTCACATCTTTTTACTTATTTCTTTAATTATTTTATTATTTATTTATTTTCTTATTTATTTTTATTTTCTCTCGAAATCTCACTGTTTATTTATTTTTCTCCCGCCTTCCCCCCCCTATGTTTGCTATTTTACTTTCTTGATTAAGTCACCGGTACCCTACCCTAACCACTTAAACTTCGGTAAGGGTTTTTTTAGGGTTTTTGTAGGGTTTAAGGTTTTTCAAACCCCCCCTACTTCCCCGTCCTCTTCGGGCACCCTGGACCCGAACCACCCCTCCCCCTCTGATGGCGCCCGCGCTAGCCTTGCTAGCGCCGTTCGTCGCTTTCTACCACGGACTTCCCCCTACGCCCTCCGCTCACGTGGACCTCTTCTGGCTCCCTCCAGTTCTGTCCGTCATCTCCCAATGGCCGAAGGTGTGTCACACGCCGCCAACACGGCGATGACCACGGCATCGGGCTCCACACCCGTGCCGGCGGACCAAGGCCATCAGCCCCAGAGGGATTATGCACACCCTCCTCACCTCCCTCCTTGCGCCCATCCAGGCGCAACTCGTGACCCTTGCGCCCATCCAGGCGCAACTCGCGACCCTCACGCCCTTACAGGCGCAGGTGGCGCCCCTTGCCGCCGGCGTGCGGCAACTCCAGGACGTTGGTCGTCCTTCCTCTCCTCACCCTATCTCTTCTCCTGGCTCCCAGTCCAGGTCCCCCGTCCTCCAACAGGGTGGCCACGGTGGAGCTTCCTCCTCCGCTGCCCCCGACCCGGCCTCTTGGTGACCGTCCACGCCCCTAGCACGACGGCCGCCACAAGTCAGGTCCTCCCTCAGTTTACGGGCGCACCCGCCCAGACCTCGGTCACTACGGCCACGGTACCACAACCCACTACCATGGTCGCAGCTTTTCCGGGTTCCCCTCTTCTCCCTCCTCTTCGCACGATCGCAGCGCCACCTGGCTCTACCCCTTGTGGGATGCCTCGCGTCGCTCGTGCGTCTCCCCCTGCCACTCCTCGCTCGACCTACGTTCGAGGTCTCGAGGACGAGATCGCCCAGATGCGGACCGACCTCGCCCTTTCACGCCTTCAGCCACCCCCACCCTCACAGGTAGCCGCGCCTTCCGGCGCACCCCCTTCTTCCTCTATTCTTCCTTTCATGCAGCCTCGCTTCCCTCGCCCTGCACCCTACCCATCCCCATCCTACCTCCTCCCCATCCCCTCGGTTGCTGTGACCTCTTCTACCACAGCTCCCGTGCAGCCGGCCGCTATCTCCCCCGCCGCTCCACCATGCAGCCCGGGCGTACAGTCAGCTGCGCCTCCTCCTCCAGAACATGAGCCGACTTATTCCGCCGTAGCGCAGTCCCCTGCTTCCCGTTCCCCTCGCCCCCAAAACGGTGGCGCACCACTCATCCGCTTGTCGGACATTGCCTTGTATGATGGTACAGGCATACGCGTGTCTAGGTGGCTGCAGTCTGCCACCCGCACGCTCCAGCTCATGGGCGCCACACCCGACACGTGGGTGAGTCACCTCTCCACGCGCCTACGTGGCGGTCCTTTCGAGGCCTGGGAGAATTTCTACGCGTACTCCCTTCGTGAGGGTCGGACCCCGACCTTCATGGATTTCCAGGCGTTCCTCGCGGACCGCTTCGGAGCCCGATAAGACGTGACTGACGCCTTCGAGCGTGTCGTCACTACACGCTGGTCCGGCTCTGGTGGCGCTGCCGCTCTGGATCGCCACATTCAGGTCTTTCAGGACGCCCGCCTCACTTGTGACGTGGCGTTCCTCCCCAAGGCTGCCCTTATCGATCGTTTCTTGGCTAGCCTTCCGCTCGAGTACCGCTCCGAGCTATGGTGGTACGAGTTCACATCGGCCCCGCACGCTTACGAGGCCATCAAGGACCACCAGCGGATGCGGGCCCGTCTTCACCCCGCCTCCTCCTCCCAGCCACAACGTACTGGTTACGCCTCATCCTCCTCTCACGGCACTTCCCAGCGCCGTTCCCCCTTTCGCGGTCGCCCCCGCCATTCTGCGCAGCAGGGCCGCCACTTCTCGCGCCGCTTCAGCGCGCTCGAGTATGGTGAGGAGGACGCTGGTGCCCCGCTGTCGCCAGAGGGTGATCATAGCGATGACCTCGACCTCGGCGATGCCGTCCAGCACCACCTGGAGGACCCTACTCTCCCTATGGCTGAGCGCCTCCAACTTATCCTCTCCACCCTCTCCCGGGCACGCAGCCGCCCTGGTCACGCTGGCGCGTCGCCCCCCGAGGTCCCTCAGCAGGACCTCCCTAAGGGCTTTGTTCCTCCTCGCGGTGTCCTTTCCACTGAGGAGCGCGCAGTTTTTATGGGCCGACATGGGTGTTTGCGTTGCCGCTTTGACGGTCATACCTCCTCGCGGTGCCCTTATACCACCGCCCTCGATCGTCACTACGCTGACCTTTCCCGCCAGCGTCGTGCGTCGTTCCCCCCCCGGCGCCTCTCATCCCCGCGGCGCCTCCTAGCCACGATGTAGTGTACAGCTGCGCCCTCCTCAGTAGTGGGCTTTCCGACATCTCCGTCGCGGTTCACCCTTCTCGCTACTGGAGTTGAGGTATCGCAGGACTCGACAGAGTGTACTCAGCCCATGTCGCAGTACCGTCTGCGCCTCCGCAGACCACCGTCTCCTCTCCTTCCCCGCCACGACTACCGACGCATCGAGCCATTCGCTCAGCCCGTTGCAGCGAGCAGCTTGCTACTCGCGAGGACGTTGTGTCCTCTCTTCTAGGCTCGTCAGGAGCGACTCACCCTTCATGTCGCTGCACTGCGTCGCGTTCTCGCCATCCTCTCTAACCCTGATCGCACCCTCCCGATCATCCAGTACGACTTGGGACCTCCACAAGGGTGTACTCAGCGCTGTGGGATTCCAGTTCTCGGGGCAACTTCATTCACCCACGTGTGGTGAAAGAAGCCCGCTTACCCACGACAGGGTCTCCAACACCCATCTCCATTACCTTAGGGGATGACAAGACCCAACGCTTCTTTGATCAGACGGTCACCGACCTCCCTTTCTTCCTCACTCTCGAGCCGACTGATCGTTCCCCGGCGTCTCGTCGCCACGGCTCCTCTGCACATTTCGATGTGATGGAGACGGGGTACGACTTCATTCTCGGCACTCCGTGGTCTCGTCGGTTCCGCAGCACCGAGGCCGATTGGGCGACCAACACTCTCGTTCTCAAAACGAAGTGTGGACAGACATATCGCGTACGTTTCATAGGTACCACTGTGACACCACGCCCCGACGCCGTCCCGACGCCGAGCTCATCCCTCTGGAGCCAGATCCTCCTTCCATCTTCATGGCTCCCATCTCTACTTCCGTCCCTCCACCGTCCTTCGAATCCACCCCGCCGTCGCGCGCAAACGCTGACGGTGAGGAACTCGCACGATATACGGTTGACCTGGAGCCCGTAGTTCGTGACCTCATCCGAGAGTACCACGGCGTTTTCCCATCGTCGTTCTCGTACGCCGGCATCCCACCGATGCGTGACGTTGAGCACTCCATTTAGCTTGTGCCTGACTATCGTGTTCACCACCAGACACCCTACAGACTTTCGATCCCCGATGCCACCGAACTCAAGCGTCAGCTTGAGGAGCTCCTGAGACTGGGTTTCATTAAACCCAGCAACTCCACGTGGGGTGCACCCGTCCTCTTTGCTCGCAAAGCGGATGGAACTCTCCGTCTCTGCATCGACTATCGCGGTCTCAACCGCTACACGGTTAAGAACAGCTACCCCATGCCTCGTTCCGATGAGTTGTTCGACCGCCTAGCAGGCAACCGCTTCTTTACAAAGATTGATCTTCGTAGCGGTTACCATCAGATCCGTGTTGCTGCAGCCGACCAGCCGAAGACCGCGTTCCGATCGCGATTCGGCCACTACGAGTTCACGGTGATGCCATTCGGCCTGACCAACGCACCCGCTACCTTCAAGAGGGCGATGAACGACATCTTCAGGGACATCCTGGAGCAGTACGTTCTCGTCTACCTCGACGATATCCTGGTTTATAGTCGTACCCTTGAGGAGCACCTCAGACACCTCAGCGATGTCCTTGACCGCTTGTGCAGACATGGCTTCTACACCAAGCTGAGCAAGTGCCGCTTTGCCCAGCACAAAGTGGATTTCTTAGGACACTACGTGTCTGACCAGGGTCTCCACATGGACGACGCGAAGATCGCTGCTATTGCGGAGTGGCCCGCTCCCACATCCGCCAAGCAGCTTCGCAGCTTCCTAGGCCTGACCAGCTACTATAGTAATTTCATCTGGGATACGCTAGGTATTCCTACGTCCTTACCTCCACCCTCCTCTGGAAGAACTCACCCTGGGCTTGGACACCCCTCCACGAGGACGCCTTTCGCACCCTCAAGAAGGCGGTGAGATGCGCACCGGTTCTTCACCTACCCGATTTTGACCGCCCTTTTATCCTTACCACCGATGCGTCAGACTTCGCTGTAGGAGCAGTGCTTTCTCAGGTCTTCCCCTCCTCTCTTGATTCCTCTCATCCTCGTATCCCTCGCTTCCCACCACCTACCCCTACCACTGCTTCCCGACTGACGCCTACTCGTTCACCTACTGACGAACCTTCTATTGACTATTCTCCTACCATCGCCGAGGACGGCACTGTCGAGTCTCGCTCAGGTGATTGTCCGATAGCCTTTTACTCCCATCAGCTCCTGCCCGCCGAGATAAACTACACTGCTGATGAACGTGAGGTTCTCGCGGTAGTTTATGCCGCTCGGCACTGGCGTCACTACCTGCACGGGGCACCGTTCACGGTGCGTACGGACAACTCTGTTGTCCAGGCTTTTCTGACAAAACCGAAGCTCACTCCTCGACAGGCTCGCTGGTGGCGCGACCTATCCGAGTTTAGTTTCACCACTGAGCACATCAAGGGTGAGACTAATCGGGTCGCAGATGCCTTATCCCAGCGTCCTGACCACGATCAGGAGCAGATCCAGCTCTCTTCCATCTCGGTCACCACCGTCCACCACTCGGTGATCGACGAGTTCCGCACTCAGTACCGCCACTACCCCGACTATCGCGACATCCACGCGACCCTTCGGAGTGGCAAGACCATCCCGAACTACTCTCTCGGGGACAACGGTATCGTGTACTGGCACGGTTCACAGGGCACCAGAGAGCCCCGTATTTACGTTCCCTCCACTGGACAGCTACGTGTCCGCGCAGTAGCAGAGTTCCATGACCAGGCAGCCGCCGGTCATATGGGCTTCCACAAGACGTTGGCTCGTGTGAGCCGCCTGTACGTCTGGCCAAAGCGCAAGGACTTTGTGAAGGACTACGTCGCAGAGTGTCCCACCTGTCAAGAGGTGAACAGTGCGAACCACCTGCCTTATGGTTTGCTCCAGCCTCTTCCCATCCCTGAGGGTCGTTGGCAGTTCATCTCGATGGACTTTATCGGTCCCCTTCGTCCTCTGACCCCTCGCGGTCATGATGCTATCCTGGTCGTCGTCGACCGCTTCACGAAGCGTGCATGCTTTGTTCCGTGCCGCTATGCCATCAATGCACGTGAGGTCGCCGACATCGTGTTTGACCGAGTCATGCGTGACCACGGTTTACCTCTGAGCATCATATCTGACCGTGACCCGCGCTTTACCAACCGATTCTGGCGACGGCTCCACAAGGTTTATGGCACTCAGCTCCGCTTCTCCTCGTCTTACCATCCTCAGACTGATGGTCAGACCGAGATCACGAACAGGACTCTTGGAGATATTCTCCGAAAGATTGTTCGTGACGACCAGCAGTGGGATCTTCATCTTGCCCACACGGAGATAGCCTACAACCACGCCGTCTCGCCAGCCACGGGGATGTCGCCTTACTATTGCGACCTCGGCTATGACCCTCGTGCTCCCGCGGACTTCCTTCGACCGTCACAGATGCACCCCGACACCAGTTGTCCCGCACTGGATGATTGGGTTGCACACATGACGTCGATCATGAAGACCGCACATGAGCACATAGCCGCTTCCCAGACTCGCATGGCAGCACGTGCGAACCGATCGAGGATGGATCATCCATTCAAAGTCGGTGATGMTGTGCTTATCGACGCCCGCCACTTACAGCTCGAAGCGGACACGCTTCGCAAGTTTCGGCGTCGCTTCTTTGGCCCATGCCGCATCCTCCAGGCCGTCGGTTCTGATATGGCATCTAGCCCGGTCAGCTTTCGTGTGAAGCTGCCCGACTACCTACGCCAGGCTCGTGTGCATGATGTCTACCACGTCTCGTTACTGCATCCTTACCACAGATCGTTTGAGCGTTTCGCTGGACGACCATACGAGCGCCCTCCACCCATCATGGTGGACGGCCACGAGGAGTTCCTCGTTTCAGACATCATTGGTCGTCGAGTCACCGACGACAACCCTCCCCACATCGAGTATCTCATACGTTGGAAGGGTTACCCTGATGAGGAGGCCACCTGGGAGCCCATCGAGCACTTGCAGTACGCTCGCATGTTGGTGCGTGCCTATGACCGTGCTCGTCGTGCTGAGTTCACTGCTCCTCCTCAACCCACTGACCCTCCTCCTTCTGCCCCGGTTGAGGAGACCGCTGAAGTCGAGCCTGCTCCATCTGAGGCAGACCTTCAGCAACAGCCCGATGCTTCTGAGCGTCCACAACGCACTCGTCGTCGTCCTGCTCGATACGACGATTGACTCTGACTTACCTTCCCACGTCCTTGACTTCCCACTCCAGTTTTGCTACTTCAGCTCGTCGACGTTGCGGCTCTTCCTCGACGGCATTCTTGACTTCTCATCGTGGACGTCATCGACAGCTTCATGGACTTCGTCACGATCAGCTCTGCCTACTTCAGACGTCATCACTCTCTTACCACTTTACCCTGTACAATACCCTGCTTGTGTCGCATGATGGTCTCCTTTTAGCCGGGTTCCTCTGAGTTGGGCTCTCCCTTGGTATACGCATAGGCATCGGGACCGTAGTGTTGCCCTGGCTTCCCATCTTACGGATCTAGCTCCGACCTCCCTCACTTTCGGAGTTATTTGCATGATTCCCTTACCCATCACCCTTCTACCCTCTGTCGGCCTCACGCCCTAGTTAGGCAGCCCCGCATGCTTCATCTAGGTGCGCCCAGTATACCAGGCTCCCTTGTTCCCTTGCACGGTCGACCCTATAGCGGTTACCCCTTAGTCGAGCTTTACCCGCCCTGATGGTCTATCTGTTAGGGTCATTGGTTTTTATTCGCTCCCAGTTCCCTACCCTCATTGAGCCTGATGACATGTGTCTCCTTGTTATCTATGTGTGGATGCCCTTAGGAGTTTCGACCCCTAGGCTGCATTCGCCACCCTCAGAGACCATCCCACCCTTTGGTTTGCGACACACTCCTCCTGTGACATATGGTTGACTTGTTGTTGCTTGTTGCTCTCAGACTGAGGCTACTGCCTCTGACATTTCTAGGATTTAACTGTTCTGCTTTTGCTGTTCTTAGGACTTATACACTAGTCAATTGTCCCCAGACTGAGGCTACTGCCTCCAACATTCTAGGATTTAGTTGTCACTACTTTTTGCCTTCCTAGGACATGTATGCTAGTTAGTTGCTTCTGCTTTCCTAGGACATGTATGCTAGTTAGTTGCTTCTACTTTCCTAGGACATGTATGCTAGTTAGTTGCTTCTACTTTTACTTAGGCTGTTAGTTGTGGCATTGTTGTTTTGTAACATTTTCTAGCCTAGGTTGCATCGCATGGACTCAGCATGGAGCTCGCTCCGCATCCTAGACTACTCAGGTTTTCTTTTCTTTGGTAGAGTTCCGCTTCTTGGCGGAAGCGTGTTTGTATCTAGGCGATCCATCACAGGCCGAGGATCGTGTAGCGGACCTCTGGTTGGACTGTGAGACCAACCCCTTGGCCTGTTCTCACAGGCCTGTGTTCTATTCGGGGGCAGTACAGTCCAGTCTAGGCCGGTACCTCTGTCGGTACCAGCCAGTCCAGTCCAGTCCGTCAGTCCGCTGGGGTATACCCCAACCATTGTCTGTTTTTCGGATTCATTCTACACTTGCACGGTTTGGAGTACGTGCGTTGGAGTCTTGCGTGGGAGCTGCGCTGTGCCATCTCGCTCCTCCCTCATCCTCCATCTCCATCACTATCCCAGGCGGAGCACCTTCCCGGTGGGTCCGCTACACTTCTAGACACCTCCTGTCGAAACTTGTCGAATCCCCACCCTGCTACTCCAATGCTTTCGACAGTCCTCAGTTGCGCCATTGACTTCTCTTCAGAATTTGGTGAGTGGGCGTGAGGTCGAGGGCTCGGTCCCACCTGAGCATTTTCGTTGTAGAATGGCGGGTGCCTAAGGACCATGGATTGACACAATCGATGGTCCCTAGACACCCGCCAGTCACTTCGTGGTAGCCTCCTGCAACGAAATTGCGCAGGTGGTACCGAGGCCCGAGATGGACTAATGCTTGTCGTACCCTCAGGCACGTAACGGTTCGTCTTTTTCCATCTTGCATTCACAATTGCGTCCATTCTACAGTGTTGTGAGGCTAAAGGCGGGCAAACTGTCAAAGGGTACCCTCAGGCGCCTTCGTCTATTTCCATCTTGCATTCACAAGTGCGTCCAATCTACAGTGCTGTGTGGCTAAAAAACGCGAAACTGTCGAAGGGAGGCTGTCAAATTTATTATGACAATCGTTGATTTGTTTTGCCTTTCGACAGTGGTGTGGCAAGGCCCCCAGACTTCGAGAGTGTTGATTCTTGCTGACATCAATGACATTCACAAGACCTGACTTCAAGACCTCATACAATGTATCCACAGATGAAAATGACGTAGAAAAAAAAACGAGTAAGAGGGAAGAGGGGAGAGAAGACGACAACGACGACGACGATGAAGAAGAAGACGGGGCTCGTTAGACACTCCTTGGGGCGTCCTTGGGGCCGAAGGAAGTTTCCTTGGGGGTTTTCAAGGAAATTCCCGCCATCGTTCCACCTGTCCTCGGGGACGTCGCCCGAGGACATTTCCTTCGAACAATGTCAGACAAGAAAAAATAAAAAATAAAAAAAAATCAAATGTGTTTGAGGCCTTCAGCCAATAGGGTGCCGCCATGATCCAGATTCTCGGTTGTAACGTCTCTCTACCCATGTGCCCGCTCCTCTCCGTGAAACGCGGATTCCTTTTGCCCAAGGGACCTCGTGAGGTCCCTTGGGCAAAAGGACGAAATGGCTGGGGAATCCTCGGAGCCCAAGGAATTTCCTTCGGAGTGTTTTCACTTTTTTTTTTTCCGACTGCATCCCCGAGGATAGGTGGAACGAACAATTCCTCGGGGACTTTACGTGCCCGAGGAGTGTCGAACGAGCCCCGAAGAAGGAGAAGAAGGGGCTCGTTCGACACTCCTTGGGGCGTCCTCGGAGCCCGAGGAAAAATTCCTTTTAGTCAAAAGGAAATTTGGGCCCTTCGTTCCACCTGTCCTCGGGGACGTTGCCCGAGGACGTGTCCTTGGAGCGATGTCAGAAAAGAAAAAAGGAAAAAAAACAAAAACAAATGTGCTTAAGGCCTTCAGCCAATAGGGTGCCGCCACGATCCAGATTCTCGGTTGTAACGTCTCTCTACGCGTGTGCCCGCTCCTCTCCGTAAAACGCGGATTCCTTTTGCCCAAGGGACCTCGTGAGGTCCCTTGGGCAAAAGGGAGAAATGGCTGGGGAATCCTCGGAGCCCGAGGAATTTCCTTCGGAGTGTTTTCACTTTTTTTTTTCCGACTGCAACCCCGAGGATAAGTGGAACGAACAATTCCTCGGGGACTTTCCGCGCCCGAGGAGTGTCGAACGAGCCCCGAAGAAGGAGATGGGGAAAGGAGAAGCAAGAGAAGAGGATGCCTGAGATGGAAGGAAAGAAACTGAACATCGGCAAAACCCTGACAGGATCTGAGAAAAGGAGACAATGGTAAACGAAGGTAAAAAACCCAAACGCGACTGTGGAGTTTCAAATGAAAAAACATGAAGTAACTCCGGTCTGTGTGGACGGAAATCCGCGTGCCCCAAACGGTTTTACCTGGTCGCCGCACCAAGACCATCAGGGGTCTTCTCTGTCGCAGTTTACCATAGGACCAGACTAATATAGCAAAAGAATAGGTCAGTCTCTGCAGGTCCAAGGCTAGAAATAACAGCCTTTGGCAGAATCTACGCCACCCTTCAGAACAATACTACAGGGGTAGTCCAGATTCAAGCAGCAGAAAAAACATCACCCCAAAAAGCTCATCATCTGCTGGCGGTTCTACAGTGCAGTGTGGCTAAAGGCACTCTCGAGCGGATTTTTTTTCTTTTTTTTTTCTTAGTACCTTTGCCAGTGTTGGGAAATTACAATGTAATGGTCTGTCCCCGAAGAAATCGGTGGTGGGACCCAGGGTCGGCGAGTCCCATAAATCTTAGTTTTCTTTTGCCCGCGTGTGAAAGGAAAAGGAATACCTTTCTCGGCCTTTTGGCTAAGATCAAAAGGAAAAAAAAAAAAGCTTCTGTACTGCAATGATGTCGGGTAGTCTAGGAGGCCGTGCTCACAGTCTTCCTCTACAGAATGCATCCTACAGCAAAGACGGTCACATTCTGAAACTTGTTGTTTTCTTTTTTTTTTTATTTCTGGTTTGTTTGTTATGAGTCCTCTGCCAACGAGGCAGGGCGGAATCCGTGATCTGCTCTGGCTGTGTTTGCCATTTTCACAGCCGAATCCTTGTTTCCGTTTTTTTTTTTTTTTCTCATTTCTGGAATCTGACAATCTGAATCCATGATCTGCTCGGACTGTGTTCCCTCAGAGGATTGTAACCCTCATCACACTGGCACTTAGGGGCTCGCCACACCAGCTGTCGAAAGTGCATTTTTTCGAAAGTTGTCGTCGAAAACTCGAAAGGTAGAGTTTCGACAGAACCCCCCCCTCGGCCACACAGCACTGTCGAGGTGAAGGGCTCGCGAATTCAAGTGCAGAAGAGACAAACCCGCATGAGTATAGGACAAGCGTTTCTCCAGCCCGACCACAGTCCCGCTCAACAATCTTCGAGGAGAACTCGATAGGTCGGCGGTGGACTGTCGAAAATGCCTATGTTGCAGGCTGGACACGCGACCTCCTTCGAAAGGAGGTGTCGAAGCACCTTCCCTGATTTCGACGGGCTGTGTGGCGAAGAGGAACTGTCGAAATCCCATTTTCGACAGCTGGTGTGGCGAGCCCCTTAGAGGACGTATCACATCGAAATACGTGTTTTGTGTGTGTTTTTGGAATCTGACAACCTGAAGGGGCTGAGATGCCCTCACTGAGGGCACACTCACACTACCACTTCCAAGAATGTACACAACTGCAATCACAGCCAGAGCATTGTTTCATTTTCTTTTTTTGTGAGTTTCACGGCCGCAACTTTTCTTTTTGTTTTTCCTTTTTTTTTTCTCCCCGTGAGAGTACCATAAAGAAATGGAGTGGGACCCAGGCTCTGCAAAATCGGAATGCAGTGAAATTCAGGGTCGGCAAAAACAGGCTCGGAGGTACTGGTGGTTTACAGGGTGACGGCCTTGAGATTCAGAATGATAATTTTATTTTAGACATCTGGTTGCATCTGGTTTCGAACTGGGATCTGCATGTCAATAGTTCATGGGTGTACCGACTGACATAGGCCCATTGGTCCAAGCGGAATTTCACGTTGGGGAGCACTCCCAATTTTTTTTCTGAAACTCGGAAGTGGTGTGGCGAGACCCCAACACAACATCAAACTTTTGTGAACTAGGGAGTGGTGTGGCGAGGCCCCAACACAA